TCCTGTTTTCAAGCATTATTTGAACTTTCACAAACAAAAAAAAATATTTTTTATACATAGGATCCTATATTACATCGAAAAACACGTTAAATAAATAATATAATGTAAAATAAACAAAAAACTAAAATTTTTAAAAATTGACCGCAGCCGAGGATCGAACCCGTCCCCCCTCGCTCCAATCATAGGTCATTAGCACATAGTCTTTGCCGTTGGACCACGCGTATGCGGAGTTCGTGCTACTACATAGCTTTATTTACCCTCTCCCGATTTGCTAAACAAAAGACTTAAGGGGCCACTGCGACTTCCCTAATCTATCTATAAAATTTTACTTTAGAAGGCTGGTTCGGTAAATAGAGGCCTACTTTCGGTCCGACTTTGAAAATTATAGCTTAATATTCAAGGGAGTTAGGCGGTCTTCAAATTTGAGCCTTTTTCCCCGCCATTTTATTTTTTTTTTATTTTTTATTCCAATATGCATTCTTTTACAAAGAAAGAGAATTGATTTTACACATAGAACACCTTTTTATGCTAAACTAACGTGAAAGTATTGCAAAACAAGTTTAAAAAAAATAATATTATTTAAATAAACCAATTTTCCGGGATTTTTCCAGTTTTCAAGAATTATTTGAACTTTCCCAAACAAAAAAAATATTTTTTATTCATAGGATCCCTTATTACATTGAAAAACACGTTAAATAAATAATATAATGTAAAATAAACAAAAAACTAAAAACATTTTTTAAAATTTGACCGCAGCCGAGGATCAAACTCGTCCCTCCTCGCTCCAATCATAGGTCATTAGCACATAGTCTTTGCCGTTGGACCACGCTTATACGGTGTTCGTGCTACTACATAGCTTTAAATACCCTCTCCCAATTTGCTAAACAAAAGACTTAAGGGGTCACTGCGACCTCCCTAATCTATCTATAAAATTTTACTTTAGTAGGCTCGTTCGGTTAATAGAGGCCTAGTTTCGGTACGGCTTTGAAAATTATAGCTTAATATTCAAGGGAGTTAGGCGGTCTTCAAATTTGAGCCTTTTTCCCGCCATTTTATCGTATTTTATTTTTTATTCCATTATGCGTTCCTTCACAAAGAAAGAGAATTGATTTTGCACATAGAACTCCTTTTTATGCTAAACTAACGTGAAAGTATTGCAAAACAAGTTTAAAAATAATAATATTATCTAAATAAACCAATTTTCCGGGATTTTTCCAGTTTTCAAGCATTATTTGAACTTTCCCAAACAAAAAAAAATATTTTTTATACATAGGATCCTTTATTACATCGAAAAACCCGTTAAATAAATAATATAATGTAAAATAAACAAAAAACTAAAATTTTTGAAAATTGACCGCAGCCGAGGATCGAACCCGTACCCCTCGCTCCGATCATAGGTCAATAGCACATGGTCTTTGCCGTTGCACCACGCTTATGCGGAGTTCGTGCTACTACATAGCTTTAATTACCCTCTCCCGATTTGCTAAACAAAAGACTTAAGGGGTCACTGCGACCTCCCTAATCTATCTATAAAATTTTACTTTAGACGGTTGGTTCGGAAAATAGAGGCCTACTTTCGGTCCGACTTTGAAAATTATAGCTTAATATTCAAGGGAGTTAGGCGGTCTTCAAATTTGAGCCTTTTTCCCGCCATTTTATTTTTTTTTTATTTTTTATTCCAATATGCATTCCTTTACAAAGAAAGAGAATTGATTTTACACATAGAACACATTTTTATGCTAAACTAACGCGAAAGTATTGTAAAACAAGTTTAAAAAAAATAATATTATATAAATAAACTAATTTTCCGGGATTTTTCCAGTTTTCAAGCATTATTTGAACTTTCCCAAGCAAAAAAAAAATATTTTTTATACATAGGATCCTTTATTACATTGAAAAACACGTTAAATAAATAATATAATGCAAAATAAACAAAGGAAAAGAATTTTTAAAAATTGACGGCAGTCAAGGATCGAACCCGTCCCCCCTTGCTCCGATCGTAAGTCACTAGCACATGGTCTTAGCCATTGGACCACGCTTATACGGAGTTCGTGCTACTACATAGCTATAATTACCCTCTCCCGATTTGCTAAACAAAAGACTTAAGGGGTCACTGCGACCTCCCTAATCTATGTATAAAATTTTACTTTAGTAGGCTGGTTCGTTAAATAGAGGCCTACTTTCGGTCCGACTTTGAAAATTATAGCTTAATATTCAAGGGAGTTAGGCGGTCTTCAAATTTGAGACTTTTTCACGCCATTTTATCTTTTTTTTATTTTTTATTCCATTATGCGTTCCTTCACAAAGAAAGAGAATTGATTTTACACATAGAACTCCTTTTTATGCTAAACTAACGTGAAAGTATTGTAAAACTAGTTTAAAAAAATAATATTATATAAATAAACTAATTTTCCGGGATTTTTCCAGTTTTCAAGCATTATTTGAACTTTCCCAATCAAAAAAAATATTTTTTATATACATAGGATCCTTTATTACATTGAAAAACACGTTAATAAATAATATAATGCAAAATAAACAAAGGAAAAGAATTTTTAAATATTGACGGCAGCCAAGGATCGAACCCATCCCCCTCGCTCTGATCGTAAGTCACTAGCACATGGTCTTAGCCGTTGGACCACGCTTATACGGAGTTTATGCTACTACATAGCTTTAATTACCCTCTCCCGATTTGCTAAACAAATGACTTAAGGGGTCACTGCGACCTCCTTAATCTATCTATAAAATTTTACTTTAGTAGGCTGGTTCGGTAAATAGAGGCCTACTTTCGGTCCGACTTTGAAAATTATAGCTTAATATTCAAGGGAGTTAGGCGGTCTTCAAATTTGAGCCTTTTTCCCGCCATTTTATTTATTTTTTATTTTTTATTCCATTATGTATTCCTTTACAAAGAAAGAGAATTGATTTTACACATAGAACACCTTTTTATGCTAAACTAACGTGAAAGTATTGCAAAACAAGTTTAAAAAAAATAATATTATCTAAATAAACTAATTTTCCGGGATTTTTCCAGTTTTCAAGAATTATTTGAACTTTCCCAAACAAAAAAAATATTTTTTATACATAGGATCCTTTATTACATCGAAAAACACGTTAAATAAATAATATAATGTAAAATAAACGAAAGAAAATTTTTTTTTTAAATTTGACCGCAGCCGAGGATCGTTCCCGTCCCCCCTCGCTCCGATCGCTAGTCACTAGCACATGGTCTTAGCCGTTAGACCACGCTTATACGGAGTTCTTGCTACTACATAGCTTTAATTACTCTCTCCCGATTAGCTAAACAAAAGACTGAAGGGGTCACTGCGACCTCCCTAATCTATCTATAAAATTTTACTTTAGTAGGCTTGTTTGGTTAATAGTGGCCTACTTTCGGTCCGACTTTGAAAATTATAGCTTAATATTTAAGGGAGTTAGGCGGTCTTTAAATTGGAGCCTTTTTCCCAGCCATTTTATTTTATTTTATTTTTATTCCATTATGCGTTCCTTCACAAAGAAAGAGAATTGATTTTACACATAGAACACCTTTTTATGCTAAACTAACGGGAAAGTATTGTAAAACCAGTTTAAAAAAAATAATATTATATAAATAAACTAATTTTCCGGGATATTTCCAGTTTTCAAGCATTATTTGAACTTTCCCAAACAAAACAAAAAAATATTTTTTATACATAGGATCCTTTATTACATCGAAAAACTCGTGAAATAAGTAATATAATGTAAAATAAACAAAAGAAAAAAAAATTTAAAAATTGACCGCAGCCGAGGATCGAACCCGTCCCCACTCGCTCCGATCGTAAGTCACTAGCACATTAAAATTAAAGACCCCAAACTTTCCATCTCTCTCTTTGCCATAACTTTGAACCATATTTTCCAGATTGCAGCTATTTCCGCATTTGAAGATTAAAAACCTGAAACTATAGAAAAACTTGTATGTTTTTCCAGAACAAAACGCGTTTTTGTGTTCAATTTCGCAATTTAAAAAATATGGTATTGACTCTTTGTACACAAAATCAGAATTTAATGAAAAGTTAATCAAGGTGTTCCCTTTTTCCATCTGATACACTGTATATAAAATAAGTCAATGAGAATCTGTTATGTTGATTAACATATATTTTAAGATATTGAGTACGAACAGTTTCATTGTTTTTCTGAATGAATCAACAATTATTTTACTTTTAAGAAAATGATAAAAAAAAAATAATAAATTAAATGGCCACTTGAATCAGTCTGCGTAGGGACCGAGGATGTGCGGTATTAGTCCTCGTTAAACTGTGCTACCGTAAGGTGCTCGACTTCGCGCGCAGGTCTTCGGGCTACCGAAGCGGGGGTGCCATCCCCTCCGCCGAGGATCAAAATTGTGATGGCATTTCCTCGGATCATCCTCCGGGATGTTTCCCAGACCGTCGCCAATAGCGCACTGTGCAGCTCTAGTGCGACGTAAATTAACAAAAACAACAGACTGTAGCTAATAGCCCATTGTGCAGCTCTATTGCGGCGTAAATGAATATAAACAACAACTGCAACAAAATTTTTTTTCCTTAGGTTTTACTTCGGTGTTCCACTGCAACGACATTACGATTAATCTCTTACGATAAACGAAAATACAGAAATAGGCAGCTAAAGTCGAATTAGTCTCTCTATAATTGGTTAATTGATTGAAATTTGTTAAAAATTTTTTTTGGAAATCTTTCTCTCAGATGATGTTTGTACGTAATATCTAGTTATTAATTTTTTCTCTGAACTAAAATATTAATCTAAAATGGCTTTCAGACAAGATTCTTGGTGAGAATGTGCCAATTTCTATTTTTATTCTTAAATATGTACTATATAAGTCGTATGGGGATATGTCCATGTAAATAATGCTCAGTTTCTTTACTTTATATATTATTTGCATTTCTAACGGATCATTACAAGTTGCGTAATTCTAAATGTTATTTCATTTATATTTACCCCCTTTTATAGTTTTTTTTTTAAATTAATATATAAAAGCAAGATCACTCATCTAATTTTTGTCATTAGGAAAGGTGAAAAAAAGTCTTTCTAGTAGACTTAAAAGGAAAAAATAATATATTTTGGCAGAATGTTTTTCGAATGACTTGGGAGTACATTTGGGGCTGTGATATATAACTAACATCACATACTGTAGTCTTTTTGTAGGAAGATATCCTTATCTTAACCTGTGCCAAGAAAGTTGCAAATTTTGGCGACAACGAGAGTCTTATAATGATTACAGAAATGCTCCAACTCGTATCCAACAAAAATTCTTTTACTCCTTTATCATGGTAGTTGGTGCAAACAGGTGCTGATAAGAAAATATTCTACTGCCTTAAGAATATACTTTTTTAAACTTTATGCCATGTTATATTCTCTTTTAGGTTTTATGCCTTGTAGATTATTTATGTCAGAAAATAATCAAAATTTTGATTAGGCGATATAATAGCAATTGAATTTGTTAACCCCTTTTTAGAGTGTTGTAATTTGTGTTTGCAAGGCTATAGTTGAAATTTTAAAACATCAGCTAGTCTAAAAGTGGTTAAAAGCTAGTTAAAATTGTTATGTTAATTATTGCAATATTAATTGCTACAAAATACTGTTAAAAATATTGAATAATTTTATTGTGCTGGTATTAAATAGAAAATAATAAATATACAACTATGATGAACACTATAAGTGGAAGTTTACTTTAAAAAACTGTTATTCAATTCAAACACGTCTTCATCGATTCCTGAAGATAATCTTTTATGTCATTGTCTGATGCCGGCATGAATTATTTTCAGAAATAATTTGTCCCATTCACGCAATTAAAGATCTCTGAGAGTGTCACTAACTTCTGTGCTGCTTATCATTGATTATAGAATCTAGAATCCCCCTAACACTATAATCTACAAGATTTAGATCTAATGAAGATGGGGGCCACTGTTCTGCCTTAATAAATTTCAAAAGATTGAGCCAAGCCTATGTTGTTTCGTNATTTACAAGTTTAGACAAGAAAAACAAGTTTAAAAAATACAAAATTCTCATATTTATTTTTTAAAAATAATTACAATTCCTAAATTAACTTATATAAACAAAACCAATGATTAAATACCGCAATATATTTCTTACCTAATTAAACGGGGGGGAAACAATAAAATAAAAGGAAAACTTATTAATCTAAATCAAAACACTTGAAAATTATCGAAACGATAGTTAAAAAAGGCACTAGCATAAATATTAAAACCCGGAACAAGGCAAGATCAACAGAATTAAAAAAAAAACCTAATGATAAAATTTATGAATAAAAAGAATTTATTGAGTGCGAAATTTATCGTGAAAAGAAAAAAAAATCAAACGCAGTGGAATCAGAAAAACAAAACTTTTTTTCTGATTCCACTACGTTTGATTTTTTTAAAAATTTTTTTCTCCCAAGTTTTTCGTAGGCCCCTGAATTTCGTAGGCCTTAGGCACGTGCCTAGTGTGCCTATAGGTTAATCCGGCCCTGACTACAGCCCAAACCATTACAGAATTCTTATTCTGAAAGTGTTGCACAGTTAGTACACTTTCAGGTATCTCATCAAAGGTTGTTGAATATACAACACTATTCTTAGCATTATAACTTTACTCTGTGCAAAATATTTTTAAATTGCTTTACTAAAGATTTAAAATAGATTCCTTTTTTTTTAAGTGTCACAGTATATTTAGTAGTCACACTGTACTAAGAGAAGATTCATTTGATGAGTAGTGTAAAAAAAAGTTTTTGATATGAAACAACACATTGGATTCTAAATATCTATTCATCTGAATATCTATTCATTTATGTATATTTTATTTAGGATGACTTCATATAATTCTCGTGAAAGTCTTGCTAGCAAAATTATGGAAAAGATATCTTATCGTAATCAGCAACCTAAAAATAGCGTAGCCAGTGGTAAGGTTAGTTCCTTTCTAAATTTTATCTAGTTTTTTGATGTTGTTGTTCGTGTTGAAAATTCCTTTAGTCACATGGGGTTGCTCTACGTATCCATTGGCTAAGATTGGTTAGGGGTAATTATTACCACTAGTAACTGTTTTATTTCAAACTCCTTTAAAACAAAATAAAATGAAATTTTTCAGGAATTTTCTGACTTACTAAGAAAATAGAAAAAGTGGTTATCCAACTAAAAATCTGAAAAAGTTAAAGTTTAATGTAATTTTGAACTCATGTGACTAAAATATGTTTTTGTTGTAATTTCTATCTTAATGTGTAATTATTGATTGGGCAGTTATGACCACTATAATGCTTATATTTTAACATTGAGACATTTTACATTAACATTGAGACATTAACGTACATTCTCCGCAAAGCGGACACTCCCGTAACCGGACGCGGACAGTCATTTTGATCCTGAAACGTTGTTTTTTATCTCTACAAACCGGACACTACTTTTTCTAAATAAGTTGCAAACTAAAAAAATTCAACTTTTCACCATTTTTAAAGCATGTAAATAAAACTTTTTGCCTTATCCATAACTAAAAATATTGTTAAGCTATTTCACCACCGAAAAATCAATCTTTCTCCTGTCACCTTGCCTTATCTTTGTAAAGAAAGGAGAGAAAATAGTACTGCACTCCTGAAATAATTCTGACATGGGCATCTTTTGATCTTTTCATCTGGATCACACAGGTTATCAGACCCCTCAAGTTGAAATGACTTCTCTCACTTCTTCTTCCCTATTGAAAATTTCTTTAATTTTCTTATCAATTTGAAGACTCTATTTAACACAACTGGGGTACAAAAAAGAGAACAGAAGTATAATCTTTGAGGTGTTTATATAAATGAAACATTTATTCAGACACTTGATAGCTGATCAATTGTGAATAATCATCTCCATAGGTCCTTATGACTTACAGGTATGCATTACTTTTTTTTCTGTGAATCATGGGAGGTTTATTTTACAAGAAGGTATTAACCGTGTTCCCTATCAAATGATAAGTAGGTGTAAGGGAATGTGAATCTAATAGTTCAAACGGACTGAGGACAGTACGCTCCTATTTGGTATCATATGTCTAACTTCAGTATCTATGCTAATAGAAAAATTATATTTATTTATCTGTAGCTACATCCAGAATTATGTATTTATATCGAACTTCTTTATATATTCTTTTTTATCTTTCTTATTGTTTAAATAAATTTTCTTGTAGATATTTACAGTATCCTTGTAGATATTATTTAATTATTTCTACATCGTTGAGAATATTCTAAAAACAATTTACGGTGTTAAATTTCGTTATTAGGGTGCCCTTCCCGTAAAAGGACAACTCTCATAAACGGACAAATTTTTTTGGTCCCATGAATGTCCGCTTAATGGAGGTTTCACTGTATATATATATATACCCAAAAACTCTGGATGATCATTGCATAAAAGAACAATTATTATCTGTTGGGTCTATGACTCTAGAAGACTACATGGGGAAATGAACATTGCACCGTTTGTTTACTGACTTAATGACTGGCACGGTGGTTCAGCTGGGTTAATGTTAAGGTTCTCTAATTATGTTAAATATGACTCATTATTTGAAATTGCGTGTACACTAACGGCATGCCTAGTCTTCATTCGAGATTATTTGTCTTTTGAAGTTTGTCCTGACCAATAGTCTGAAAGAAATGAGTGATCAGGCAAACTACAAAGGACAAATAATTTTAAACAAGATGGTGTATATAGAAGTGAGGGTATGTATGTATAAATTGTATCAGTATGTAGCTGGTAAAGCCAAACATTAGCTGAACTTGGCGAGAATCAAATCAATAAGTCAGTAAATGCCTGGCCAAATTATTAGACACACTCTAAGATTCTATGTTGTTCCTGTCACTTCAAAAGACATTAGACGATATATAATATTAATTCGATGATTGGATGTATTATATAAATATAGAATCATTTATAATATCAATCATTATATTAGTATATTATAATAATGAGACCAAATTATTAGATGCACTTGTAATGTTTTAATAATTGCATGTTTTGCACGAGTTTATATACAATACTTTCTTATTTAAACATACATGTGATGGATTTTTATTTGCAAGATTTTTTATATACTTAATATTTGTATTTATTTTTAGCGTATTGCCTTACAATGTTAACCAATGGATACAGGAACATAATGAAGTGTAAACAGTCGCGTAAGAACACTAAAGCTGTATAGCACCAACTGATAATTAAGATTTTAACATAGAATTTTATAGTGTGTCTAATAATATGTCGAGGGGCTGTAATGCTCCTTTTTACCATATAGGCTTTGGGAGTCACAGGCCAACAACATGCTACTTCTAATTCATACTTATTGTAATAAATAATAATAATTATTTTTACTGTCTAGGCAAGTGCTCAGGCCAGGAAATTAATGAAGAAATTCAGTGACAATTTATCAAGCTTAAAGCAAACATTGCTTGCCTCAAAAGATTTACTGTATGTTTTATTTTTATTTCTGCTAATTAATGAGTTATTAATAACTTTTTATCTATATTTTTAATGTTTATTGTATTAAATTGTATTGTGCAACAGATTATATTAGTGTTACTTTTAATTGATTACTTAATATCTAAAAATCTAATCAATTAATCTTGCAATAATTCTTCACATTTTTTTCTTGACTAATACGAAGATGTAATGTAAATAGTAAAATCCCGGATTTTGATAATTTTTCACTTTTTTTTTAAAAATTTTTTTTACTCTTTCTCTTGAATGGCATTAAAACTTTTTTTGAGTACCTTTTTTTTTTAATTTTAAGATTTATTTGGTATTGGGCCATTTTTAATGAAATTTTTCTAATAATTTTTTTTATTTTCTCCTTTTTCCTTTTATCTTCATGGTGCGTAGCATTTTTAAAAAGTGTCTAAAGTTGCTTATTTTCCATTTTCCTTTTATAAATTCCCAGGGTGCTTTTTTTCATTGAGTGTTTTTAAAAAGTGCTTCATTTTCCCTTTTGAAAAATGAGATTTTTTTTCACGTATTATGCAAAACCGTGCTTTTCACATTGTTCTACTCAATGTTTCGACAATTCATTCAACCACAATCCATTTTGGCATAACGTCATTCCATAGCGTATGAAAGTGCCAATCATTTTATATGTTTGATGAAACACTGGGAAGTCCGCATGTGCATCTGTTGAGCCGGGTTCAGCGAGATTATTGCACTCTTATGTATTATGCGAGATATTCTCAATTTCAGGCTTCATTTTCCACCCTCTGATATCGAAGCAAAAAATCATTCGAGCACCTAATAATGGCTAATAATAATCAAGAAAGGAGTTCTTTGTCAGAAACTGGTTATTTTATCATGATCATGTAAAATCTTGGAAAATTATTTTGCATTTTGTTAATGAATATAGTGCTTAAAAATGTAGTTTAAGTGCTTAAAAAGTACTTAAAAGGTGTTTATTTTTTGTTGAAAGAATTAACTAGGCACCCTGATCTTGTAACTCTCAATATCGTTAAGATATTGATTTCTCCATACAAGACTTTTTTTTTCCTTCTCACATTTCACATTAGTTTCAAACTTTTCAAGAATATCAATAATGTTATAATACAATCTTATGTAAGTTGAAAAAAGAAAAGAAAGAAAGAATGTTTCAGATTTAAGTTCTTGTTTGATTTTAAGGCATATGTATTTTTTTTTTTTTAAATCTCTATTTAAGGCATTTAGTGATTTTTAGATCATCAATTCTAGTATTTAGCTATGTATGGCTTCTAGTATTTAGTACGATGTATGTCAATACCTGTTTACATTGAATGCCTACAGGTTTTATTTTAATCGAACATTATTTCCATAATATTAAAGTGAATTGAAATTAACAGCTTTTTTACTATAAAATATGAACTTTCTGGGTGTATAAATTAATTATTTGAATGAAATAGAATAACCAGACACAGCAAGGCTCGAATTTCAATTGTGTTTGTGCTTTCTTAACGCTAAACATCCCAACACTTTACAATACAATACAATACATCTTACTACAACTTTTGACTGGTTATGGTATATTTAGACTAAATAATAGAATAATATATTTTGAGCTTGTTTAAGTAAGTTAATTTATTTATTTTTGTAGCTTATTTTTAGTTTTCAAAAATTTAAAAAATGAATAATTGCCTACTAAATTGTTCTGCACTCTAAAGTAGTGCTCTTATGTGGCAGCACAAACTTGGTCATACAAGAAAAAAGAATTCTAATTTTTAAGAGAACACTTAGTTCAGGGAGTTCTTAGCAATCTTATAATTTTTCTTTTATAAATTTAATTATGATTTCTATCATAAATATGTTTCCCAAAGGTTATCAAAATAGAATTACTACACATAGATATTATTTTTTTATTAACAGGGTGCGTAGCATTTTTAAAAAGTACTTAAGGGTGCTTATTTTTAATTTTCGTTTTTTAAAAGCCGTTAAAAGTGCTTTTTTCATTGAATATTTTTAAAAAGTGCTTAATTTTCCCTTTACCATGCTAATTTTCTCCATGTATTATACAAAAATATACTTCTTATTGTTCTATTCAACGTTGTTGTTGACGTATGCCTGTTTACGCAGAGTGGGTGCAATTGTTCTTGTTTTCCTATGGCACCATCTATGGCCAAGAATTTGACTTCTGCCACACCATACGTCACACCTGTTTATAGGGCGGACCCATTCATACATCCATTCATTCATCCACAGATCGTAATTATACCTGATTCTGAGAACAATGGATCTCCAATCCAGTACCCCCAGAGGTATTGATTCTATTAAACGTTTTCAAATTAATTCAACCCCAATCTATTTCGGCGTACCGTTAGTCCGTAGCATAGGAAAACGCCATTCGTTTTACATGATTCAAAATTTCATAATTTTTGACAATTGTCAAAAACTATGCCAAAAGTTTTTTTTGACATGACAGTTAAAACCGAATAAAACCGTCAATTGTCAGAAACTTGTCAACCCTGCCAAATTATATATTTTTTAAAGTGTTTAATAATATTTTTTGAGTGCTTGAAAAGTGCTTTAAAGGTGCTTATTTTTTGTTGAAAAATTTGACTACGCTCCCTGATTAAATTAGCAGTATCATTTGTTCCCCTTGAAATAATTTTTAGATATTGATGTGAAAGAAAGAATTTTAAGAAAATATTCATCTTTAAATTATTTGGAAAAAAAGAAAAACAGATATTTGCAAGTAGTTTGTTTGTGCTTAAGATAATGAAATTATTAAAACAATATTTTGAAATCTTCCTTTAAAGAATTTCTATAGTTATTGCAGAATGTTTGCAATTTTACCATCATTCACACTAAAGGTTTTATTTAACTCCTCAAAATAACTTTTTATTAAAATCTATTTCTATCATATAAAAGAACAATTACATAGATGAAATTAATTTGTGCATTCCATGCATGTAATAAGACAGGAATAGCACATACTGTAAAAAAAAAAATTCCCATTAGGAATTAGTCATGGAAGAAATAGGTTAGACTTTATTAACTACATGGTGATCTAGCTAAATTTTTTTGTATAAATTTTTTACTCTTGGATTTTGATCAACTGTGATAAATCAAATTTAAATTGAAAAGTACTCAAGAAAATATTGTTGGGTGTAAAGAAGCGAAAAATTTGGTGAAATAATATGAGTAGAAGAATGAGAACTTTTAAAGAACGTGTGTTTTTCAGAAGTAAAGTTTTATTCTTAATAGTATTCACTTGTCAAATTAACTTGTCATTTTGACTCAATAATCTTGAACAAATATTTCTTTCAGATTATGCAATAAATTAAAATTTGAAGTTAACATGTAAGCCAGGCTGTTTATAAAATTATATTAAAATGCTTTTTTATTGAATGAATTTAATTATTTATATTGTTGAAGAGATTTTTAACTTATTATCTTTTAAAGGGATGAAGGGGAGTTTGAAAGACGAGAGAGACTCATTGATGGCCTAAATAATAAGAATACTCAAATCAATGACGCCTTCAGTGGCAGAGAAGAGGGTGGAAACAGGTATTTATTTGCTTTGTTTTGCATATTTTTTGCATTTAGTATTTATTCCCTTTCTATATATATTTTTTACACATAAATATTAATTTAAATTATTTTTGAAATGACTAAAATTAAATATTGACTTTGTAATACGAGGGCTACTTTTTTTCTCAATACAAACCACAGAGGAAATCAAAAATAATGTTTTATTTGCAATATTAATCTACACACCTTTCACAGTAATTCCTTTATATACGTCCTTTCCAAAAACCTATTTTCCACATTGGTTTTTATGGTTTTACTTGCTTTTTCATTGTTTTTTTTTTTCTTTTAAAGATGTTTTCCTTTTCTTTTTTTTACCACTTCGGAAAGAAAGATAATTTTCCTCTTGATGTTACAATTTTAGGAAAAATATTACTATTTTTTATTATTTGCCGTGTACATCTTTTAATAATAAAAAAAAAAATCCTTAAATGAAGAAAAATCCCAAATTAAGAATAGTAGTGATATCTCATTGATATATGATCAGTTTCGGAATGAATTCTCTGTGGATTTTTGGCATGGACATATATTGTTCTTAGACATATTGTTCTTCACTTACAGATGAATAAATAAAATATTTACCTAACTTTTGGCCAAAATATTTTTTTTTTATAATATATTGTCTGGAGTCTGGTTTTATTTAATAACAAAAACATTAGATATAACATTTTTATGTTAATTTCTAATGCATGCATTATCAATAATCATATTTGTTTTTTTATGAATTTAAAAATATTTATTGATTAAACTCAGTGGCGCAACAGCCCATAGAGGGCCAGGGCCTAGTTTGCTCATCTTAGTTCTCAGCCACCTTGGGCTCTGGGGTGCAGGAGCAGATGTTCCGGTTAAGTAGTCAGCCTATTGTGGAACCCCTCAGTGCTTAGTCCCCAAGCATGCTTGGTACTCATTTTATGGACCCATTGAAGGGAAGAAAGGGTGGGTCAACTTTACCCAGTTCAAGGATCTAACCAGGATCTGTGACATGTGATCACTCAGCCACTGGGTGTCAAAAATATTTTAAATATCATTATGAAAATATTTTAAATTTGTAAACTTTTATTTCTCTTGAACGAATAATTTTTTTTTTAGAAATTTCTTAACAGTCTACAATCAATAGATCTACAAATTTGTGATCTCTCTACATTCTGCAACTAAATGCAAGTTTTGCAGCTTTTCTATACTCCTAGTCTATTTTCTAATTTAGTGTGAATATATGAAAAGTTCAACAATCAATTCAACCAACTTTTATCACTTGAAGAAGCATTCATTATTAATGAAATACACTGAAAACCATATTGCAAAAAAGGAAGTTATTACGTATCCCCTGGAGCGCATAATTCTCCAGTGTAAAAAAAAAAAAGTGGCATATTGGCAAGATTATAGTGAAACTAAAATATACTCATAAAAAATTTATTTCTTCTTGTTTATTAGCAGCTAAAGAAAATTGGAATAATTCTCAGTGTTACATTGCATTGTTTGTTTTTCCTTGATGCAGGTGTTTGATCATTCTTGAATGTTCAAATATAACTATTTTCTTCTTAAAAAATTCTTTGATTTGTCTATCAATGGATGAAATAGTAATATGAATGTGCATATTAAATGATGAATGAAGAGAAAATTCTTAATTTAGATAGGAACAGTTGTTAGTAGAAACGTCGTTAGTGGATTCAGAAGTCTGAAGGGCGGAATCACTGTAGATATAAAATTATACTTTATAAAAATGTGTTTGACATATTCAATAAATTTTTTAAGCGTTTGAACTAATGATCCTTTTTTTTAAAGAAAATAAGTTGATTTAAATCTTACCAAACCTACATAATTCTAATCAGGTTTAGGATGTCATGTAAAATCACTGATGCATGGAAGAAGTGTGGTATGAAACAAATTAAATTTTTGAAGGGATCTAAGATTTTATTTATTCATTCATTTGTTTCATCATTATTTTTGAAACAGCTTGTTGAAGCTTATGAAATAACAAAACCTAAAATTTAAATAAAGTTATTGTGTACAGGATGCAAAAAAAAAAGAAGAAGAATCACCCTGAATAACTGATGATGTGCTGGATCTTAAACTTAAAATTTCAAGGGGATGACCTGAAATATAGTAATCAGTTAGTGTAGACAATAAGATAAGTTACAAAATCAAACATAAAAAACACTTTTTTGACTGAATTGGATATCTGACCCTCAAAATATAGAAGGTAGCCACAGTCTGAAAAAAAAGGGTCCCAAAAGTTTGAATCCCTTAATGTTAATTTTACTTGTGTATTTTGCCATACTTTGAGAACTTTTAAAGTGAATTGAAAAATTTTTGTAAACATTTCATTTATGCAAAAATAATTTCATACAAAAAACAATTTTTAATAATTTTATTGATTTATATAAAAATAATCGAAAAATATTTTAATGTAGGTTTAAAAATTTCTACATCCTTTTAAAGAATGCAATTTTATATGGCAATATTTTTTCAAAATCAGTGGAATAGTTCCTGACAATTCCAATTTTAAATAGCTGACACTTTTAGCCAACTATTATCAAATTAAATAGAATAATAGGAAACAATACATAATTATTAAAAATTATTATTAAGCATGGAATTGTCTTGACAAACGAGTTTTATAATTATTTCCAAAAATGCTTAAAATTTTCTCATGGTTGGCAAAATATGCAAAAAATAAATAAAGGTTCAAACTTCTCTAGGTCAGACCGCTCCCCCGAACCATATTTCCCGGATTGTGCTCACTTCTTTCATTTTTAGGTTAATGTCAATCATAACTGGAAATTGCAGTTTTTCTATTTTGATGAGTATAAAAATTCCCTTTGCCTACATTCTGCAACAATTATCATAAAATTTATATTATTTCATAAAATCTACTGGATTTTTTCCTTTCCCTGTTGGCAGGTATGTGCAAGTGTCGAAGCACTCAGTATATGTTAAAGGTTTCATAAACCTTTAATAAATTCTCAGCTTTCTGAGCCCAAGTCTGCGGGCTCAATCCCTGGCCCTGACACCGGATTTTCAGGATGCAGAAAATCCTCAGCGGCCATGTCATATGATTATGCGGCTTGTGAAAGATCCCTAGAGTGCCTTATTGGCCCTTGGCATTTTCGGCAAAATTAAATTCCTAGTGCACTTTAGCATCCAAATAGAGTCTCGGTGCTGCCATCTAGTGTGGCAGAAACTAGACTTCCAAATTAACATGGTCAACGGTATCTCACCCATTGTGGTGGTCCTGAAAGAGTGGATCCTTCTGGAGAACGCACTAGGTCTGCTCAACAGGAAGACAGATTGTGCAGCTCATTGGAAATTTAAAAAAAAAAAAAAACACTTTAATAAATTTAAGAATAAATGTACCCTTTTTTTAATGAACTTGAATGGTAGCATTGTTGTCGCTGCTGTATATATTTTTTTTCCTGTTAACACAATCACATGTGTCCAATTGTTGCTGAAAATTTTTTAGACTAGAGTGAAATTCTGTTGAGGCTAAAAATTATGAATGATTGTTCCAGGCAAGCTCTTCTGGGTGCTGAAATGGTGACTGCTTCCACGAATGTTTGGGGAATGGAAGAGGACGAGAGAACCAGGGATTTGAGTTTCAATGAAATAAAAGAGCAACAGCTAATGGCTTTTCAAGGTATGTCACATTACAAGAAGAAAGTTACCGAATTCACAGCAGATTCTCATGAAAACAAAATAATGAAATATTTTAAATCAGGGGCCTGTCCAGAGTATATTTACTACCGTTTAGAGATACCTTCACAATTTCAATTTTAGGAAGAACAAAAGTTTCACAAAATACTTTTAATAAAGCAAGTCTTTATGCAAACCCTGTTCTCGTTGCAATTTAGAGATAAGAGGAGCTTTTTTTTGTCAGATGTCTTTTACAAAAAAAAGGGAATCACATGTATGGTCAGATATTGCAATGTGGTAAATCTAATCGGTCGTTCACGCCATATCACAGCGAGCTTCTTTTTTTTTCTACTGAGTTTTTTAAAATGAAACAAGGAGGATCTCCCTCTGTAAACTTTACAGGAAGATGAAATTCGAACATTATTCTAAACATTCGAACATTAACTTAAGCACTATTGTAAATTTATTCTAACAGACCTTTTTTTTATGAAACATTTTTTTTCTCTGTGAAACTTTTTTCTGTATGATCTAGTCGAAAAATGTTCTCATAATGAAAATACTTTTTTGTGCTAGAATTGTTAAATGCATGTTTTTATTAAATTCCAGTTGAAATTTAACTATGGACCATGACTTTTATGGAATTTTAAATTTGGATGCAATTTTAAGCCCAAAATTTAGCAAAATTATCTTTTTTACATGGGGAAAAATATACAGAAATTTACCTGTCATAAATGATTTTTATTTGAAGTGACAAGTTTTGAAAATATTCTCTTACTTTACCATATTTTTGTGTTGATTTTTTTATATGATGTTTAATATTCACAAAATAGGAACCTATAAAAAAAAAAACCCAGACANATTTATTCTTATATATATATATATATATATATATATATATATATATATATATATATATATATATATATATATATATATATATATATTGTACTTTATGGAGTCTTATCAATTTAGGATTTATAGAAAGACATGATTTAGACTATTTTTGAACTATTTTCATGTCAACAGTTAATAATTTCTTAGCTTCAAAATAGTACTAACTGTTGTTGAAACCTAAGCAGAAAATTAAAAAACCAAAAAATCTCATAATATAAAAATTTTTTGTGCAAATTGCAGTTTGTAAATGTTACAGATTTTAGAAAAAAATAATAATTCACGGAAATGTGTATAAAAATTCGCACTTTGACAAACTTGCAACCCTAATTATAATTGAACACATTTGATAAAACAATTTCTGTTTACCAAATGATGGTTACATTATTGAAAATGAATAGCTCATTCATTCAGATAGAATTTTAAGATTTTTTAAATTCATTGTACGACATGTTTCTATCCGAAGACCTGTCTATCCCATACAACTGCCAACTTGAATTTGAACTCCAGATTAAGTTTCAATACCGGCAACAGAGGTTACTTCAACTGTTTTGAACTTTTATTGGGATGCCGACTTACTCCAATACCAACTTTGTGGAAATATTTTTGGTAGCGGTAAAAAAATTTATATGTATTGAAAAATTTATCCTGAATTAGTAAATTTCCTTTACAGTTAAGTTGCCAATCACTGCATTTAAATAATTCAAATATTCATGTAACATGCCACTTTGTTTGAATTATTTTGTATTGAGTCTTTTAATATCTTGGCAAAATTATCAATTATTAAAATAATTTAAATGCTATGAGGTTTGAAATAAAAAATGATTTTGAAATACCTTTTACTTTTTTTATGAGTATATATATCTTTTAATAAATCTTATTCTTTATTTTATTTTAAAATAAAATAAAATACTATATTGTGATTTTTTTTAAAAATAAATAAATAATCAGTTTCTAAAAAATATGGTAAATTATTAAATTTAAAATTGGATCTATGTTACATATTAGCAATTTAAGTTTTCAAAGTTTGTAATTTAATTTTATTTTTGTTTGTTTCTTAAATGGTGCAAATTATTTATTAAAAAAAATGTTAACACATACATTTTTAAATGAAAATTTATTTCTTAACATTTTTTTAACAACATTTTAGAAACCTAAATCAATGAAAACTTGATTAGGATTCAATGAATGAAATTACAATGTCAGTGTTACTTGTCAACTGCAAATGGTGTACCATAAACAAACAGCATTTACTTAGCCAAACTGAAATTAAAAAAAGGAGCAATAATGATAAAAATTAATTTCTTTTTTTAATATGATAAATAGGTCATTTAAGTAAGTTCTTATAACTTAAAAATTCGCAAGGATCTGTGTATGAAAATTAGAAACATTAAAAGTATTTCTCATTTTTTAAAATTCTAACTCGAGCACATTTCAGTAATATTTTAATCAAGAATTAAAGGTTGAAATAATAAAGTCTCAATCAATTCAAGGTTACAGCAATTGTAATTAATTGCAGAAAGAGTCCTGATTATCAAAGTCTTGACATAGAATTAAAAGTTAAAAGAAATGCTTTGGTTGTGGTTTCTTTGTGTTCTGATGACACCATTGATATATATANCTGTTTACCAAATAATGGTAACATTATTGAAAATGAATAGCTCATTCATTCAGTTAGAATTTAAAGATTTTTGAAATTCATTGTACGACATGCTTCTATCCGAAGACCTGTCTATCCCATACAACTGCCAACTTGATTGATTTGTTCATTTGTTACAACAGTGTAATCTCTCAAGTTGACTACCCTTGTAAGTTAACTACCTGTTTAAGTTAACCTCAGTTATTAAGAATTGAATTTGAATCCTAGATAACATAAGGGAGCAAACCTTTTGTTACCTAACCACCTATCTATCTTGTATGTTCACCATTAAAATAGTATGTTCACCATTAAAATACATTAAAATTGTCCAACAATTATGAAATATTCATAAACTTTTTTACATTTATCAGGGAAGATAATTTTTTTTTGTTTCTGTTAATTTTCTATCGAATTTTGAACTTCCCTAAATAGTGAGAAAAGCTAACATTGGTAAGTTAACCACCTGGGGAAACTAGAAGAGGCTTATCTACAGGGTGTGTAGCGTTTTTAAAAAAGTCCTTAAAGGTGCTTATTTATATTTACGTTTTTTAAAAGCCCTTAAATGTGCTTTATTTTATTCCAGGTTTATAAAATGTGCTTAATTTTCGTCTTTTTAAAAGAGATTTTTTTCTTTGCTGTGTCGATTGTTGTTCTAAATTGCAAAAAATGCATGATTTTCACAATTTTTGTCTGCAATATTTATCAGAAACTGGTTATTTTATCATGGTTATGTAAATGGTTTTGAATTTTATTGATTTTATGTTTATAGATTATGAACTTTAAATGATAGTAAAAGATAATTCTTATTGCTGCACAGATTCTAATTATGATTTTTTTTTCAGAAAGTTATTTAAAATATTATTTGAGTGCTTTAAAAGGTGCTTATTTTTTGTTGAAAAATCAGGCTAAGCATCCTGATCTAGTTTTCAATTAACATCCTTATCTTTTAACACTCTTTCATGTGTCAGTCAAAAATCTTTCATGTGTCAGTTGAAAAACATTTCTTTCAGTTAATATAGTTGACATGTCAATAAATAAATTCCTTGAAATATGATTTGATCTTTCTCTAAATCAGTGATTCTCAGCCACTGTGCTATGGCACTTTTCTGTGCTGCCAAATTTTAGAGATGATACAGTAAAAATTATAATGCTTTTCTTATTACGAGTTAAGTTTAAATTAAAGAAAAGTATATTTATAATCTTTTATATTTATATACTTTTTATAATTTTTCAGTGCTTTAATGGCGTGTATATCTTTGTTGGTGATAATCTTGTCTCTGACAATCTTAAAATAAGTAGGAAATTTAATGACTATTAAAATTATTTATTAGCAAAGAAATAAAAGCGAACAATTAAAATAAGCTGTGCAATTAGTAGTATAAAAATAAATTAAAAAATGATAACTAACAAAAAAAAGCTAACTGTTAATAATTAGCGAATAAGCAAGTTAACAAGAAATCACAAAAATATAACAATTAATGTTAAAAAAACTGACAATTAATAACTAGCAAAAAATAAATAAATAAATAACCGTTAATAGCTAAATAAAAAACAAAAGAAGTATGAAGCTATGTGAGGGAAAGAAGGCGAAATTAGAGCTGCATAAGTGGAAAGAGCTAATTAATTCCTTTATAAAGTAATATTATAATTCCTTTATAAGAGCTAATTAATTCCTTCAGTTATTATATATTATCAGTAAAGAAATTCTTTAAAGTATGCTGAGCAGTTTAGAATGAGTTTCTGAGCTAGGGGGATTCTAGAGACAGTTTGAGATAAACTTTTATGTAAAATAGTTAAAAAGAAAACTAGTTGAACTTTCAATTGATAAAAAACATTGAATATTAAATTTAACTGAAAAAGGAAAAAACCAATATATAATAACTGAAATTAATGGAATTTCAAAAACTACAGTGTCTAATATAGTAAAGAATAGAGAGAAAATAAATAAGATGTGATTAGAAAATTGTCATTTAAATTTAAAATATGTTTTCATTTCCAATAAATTAGCATTGTGATTGATTTTAAAGTAAAAATGTTTCTCTTCTTCACCGAACAAGACAAAGGATTGGACACATTACACGATGTTGTGGTTCGGCAGAAGCACATGGCAGCAAATATTGGCCAGTAGCTGGATTTGCAGAATGGTTCGATATATTTTTGTGTGTTAATTTATAATGATTACATAGAGTGGTCTTGATTATGGGTGGTCTACCCTTTTAATATTTTTTTCATGGGTGAATTTCCAGAGGATTTAAATCAGTCTTGAGAAAAGATCAGTGGACTGAATCAGGGCTAAATAGAGAATAGAAGGGCTGGGTCACTCCTTTGAAGAGTCTCGTGCCGCTCCGAACTTCTGATTTTAGTCAGTGATGTCACCGTAGCCTCAACTACTCACTTTAAAGATAAATATTTTTGCATGTAACTAGCATCTTTTTTAAACTTATTTCAATACTTTAATATTTTTCTATACTTTTTTATTTATTTTGAGCTGATTTTCTTCTCATTTAATTCCAAAAATTTAACAGTAGTAGTCATATCACTGGCAAGAATTATTCTAAAACACAAAAT